TTTAACTACAAGGGAAAGGTATCTTTACATTGCAAAGATTCAGCAATTACCACCTTAACTGAGTGACCAAACTTAGCTTCCACAATGCTGGGGAGACATCATATGTCTCCTGATTTGAGGCAACAAGAAGTATATCGATTTAGCTATGTAGTCATTTTGTTTGTTTGTTTGTTCTACAACGTAGTCTCGCTCTGTGTCTCAGGCTGGAGGGCAGTGACGCGATCTCTGCTCACTGCAACTTCTGCCTCTCAGATTCAAGCGATTCTCCTGCCTCGGCCTCTTGGGTAGCTGGGATTACAGGCATGCGCCACTGTGCCTGGCTAATTTTTAGTAGAGACGGGGTTTCACCATGTTGCCCAGGGTGGTCTTGAACCCCTGACCCCAGTTGATTCACCTGCTTTAGCCTCCCAAAGTGCTGGGTTTACAGGTGTGAGCCACCGCACCCAGCCATATTCTTAGTAAAAATTGTTTAATGTGAATCTAACCGTGAGGAAACAATGAGGCAAAACCAGAATGTGAAACATTTTTCTGGTGTTGAATCTTTAAAAAAAAAAAATTACTCATTAAAAAAACAAAAAATTGTAGTTGGCCAAGTGCAGTGGCTCACACCTATAATCCCAGCACTTTGGGAGGCTGAAGTAGGTAGATCCCTTGAGCCCAGGAGTTGGAGGCCAGCCTGGGCAACACAGTGAGACCCCATCTCTATTTTATATAAAAAGGCATTTAGCTAGGCGTGGCAGTACGTGCCTATAGTCCTAGCTACTCGGGAGGCTAAGGCAGGAGGTAGAGGTTGCAGTGAGCAGAGGTCGTACCACTGCACTCCAGCCAGAGCAATGGAAGTAAGACCCTGTCTCAAAAAAAAATAAATAAGTAAAATAAATTTAAAAATTATAGCACTATCTAAAAGGAGACTAAAGAGAAATAACTAAATTTAATACACGAGAACATTGATCTTGGATTGGTTAGGGTGAGAAAAAGTTACAACAGACATTTTAGGAATAATTGGTAACATTTAAATTTAAATATTTGAATTACTGTTATTTTTTAGTGATAATGATATTATGGTAATATAGGAGAATGTCCTTATTTTTAGGCAGAGGCCTGCAAATATTTAGAGGTGAACATCCATGATGCCGGTACTTACTTTCAAATGGCTTAGAGAAAAAATGGTGCATATGTGGATATGTCCCAGTTATTAAGCTATTATGTCCAATCTCAGTAATCTGCACTCTACTTTGGGGCCAGAGCTGGGACTTTCTGCTTCGCCAGTTAGCTCCGTGAAAGGCTTTACATCCACAGGGTTCTAGGAGAGAAGGCAAGGATGGCGGAAGAAAAACTGTGTTTTTTTTTTGTCTGTGTCATAATGACAATCTACATGCAAAAGGCTGAAGTTGGGCCTTTATATCCAAAAATTAACTCAAGGCCGGGCGCGGTGGCTCACGCCTGTAATCCCAGCACTTTGGGAGGCCGAGGCGGGCAGACCACGAGGTCAGGAGATCGAGACCATCCTGGCTAACACAGTGAAACCCCATCTGTACTAAAAATAGAAAAAAAAATTAGCCGGGCATGGTGGCGGGCGCCTGTAGTCCCAGCTACTCGGGAGGCTGAGGCAGGAGAATGGCGTGAACCCAGAAGGCGGAGCTTGCAGTGAGCAGAGATTGCGCCACTGCACTCCAGCCTGGGTGACAGAGCGAGACTCCATCTCAAAAAAAAAAAAAAGTCGAGTTCATCATCTATTGTTAGGCAAGAAGAATTTTGCTATTACTGTTTACCACAAACCTTTTGTTTGAACTAGGATTTTTAGGTTTAACCTAATTTAAAACAAAAACAGATGCTGGGCGTGGTGGCTCATGCCTGTAATCCCAGCACTTTGGGAGGCCAAGGCAGGAGGATCACGAGGTCAGGAGATCGAGACCATCCTGGCTAACACAGTGAAACCCCGTCTCTACTAAAAACACAAAAAACTAGCCGGGCGAGGTGGCGGGCGCCTGTAGTCCCAGCTACTTGGGAGGCTGAGGCAGGAGAATGGTGTGAACTCAGGAGGCAGAGCTTGCAGTGAGCCGAGATCACACCACTACACTCCAGCCTGGGCGACAGAGTGAGGCTCCATCTCAAAATAAATAAATAAATAAATAAATAAAACAAAAACAGAAAAAAGAACAAGCTCTATGGTGTAGCAGACAGGCATAGGGTTTTGCCTTCATATTTTCTGGACTGGAGTAAATGTAGAACAGGCAAGCATACCTCTTAAATTAAATAAAATCATTCCTAGTTTTTCTTTTTTGTATTATTTGACCCAGACTGGAGTGTGGTGGTGCAATCCCAGATCACTGCAACCTTCGGCTCCCGGGCTCAAGCGATTCTCATGCCTCAGCCTGCCGATAGCTGAGACTGCAAGTGCTTGCCACCACTCCCAGCTAATTTTTGTATTTTTTATAGATATGGGTTCCACTGTGTTGCCCAGGCTGGTCTCAAAGTCCTGGACCGGGTGATCTGCCCACCTCAGCCTCCCAAAGTGCTGGGATTACAGGTATAAGCCACCGCGCCCAGCCCTATTTGTGACTTTCATATGTTGTATTTAAATATTAATAAAATCATATTTGATACTAACTTTGTTTTTACCTCATACGTAGCAAAGATAAATAATGGTTTATAAAATTTTCATATATTCAAACACAAAAGCATTATACTGAGTCACAGCGTAAAAGGTATTTCTTATTGTGGGTCTTTGTAAACAAAAATTTTAAAAATACTTGTAAACATTCTCCAGGTTTTTTTGTTCTGTTTTTTGTTTTTTTGAGACAGGGCCTTACTCTGTCACCCAGGCTTGGATGCAGTGGGGCCATCACGGCTCTCTGCAGCCTTGACCTCCTGGGCTCAGGCAGTCCTCCCTCCTCGGCCTCCCAAGTAGCTGGGACTATGGGCATATGCCACCACACCCAGCTAATTTTTATATTTTTTGTGGAGACAGGGTCTTCCCATGTTCCCCAGGCTGGCCTCCTTCTGAGCTCAGGCAATCCTCCCTCTTCAGCCTCCGAAAGTGCTGGAATTACAGGCATGAGCCACCGCACCTGGCCATTCTGCAGCTCTGTGATTTCTTCTTTGATTCAAGAGTTGCTTAAGAGAATTTTTAGTTTCCATGTCATTTGTGTTTCTACTTTTGTTATTCATATTTTACTTTATGGCATTATAGTCAAAGACAATAGTCTAGGTTATTGTGTATTATTTCTTTTTATTGGAAGATAGGTATGTTTTTTGTTAGTATGTGTATATGTGTATATGTCTCTATATGTGTTAGCTCCTCTTTATTAATTTTATTATATAGAGCGTTTATATATTTATTTCTTAAACTTTTTAGTTGGAAATAATTTCAGACTTACTTGCAAAAATAGTACAAAGAGGCCGGGCACAGTGGTTCACACCTGTCATCCTAGCACTTTGGGAGACCGAAGTGGGCAGATTGCCTAAGCTCAGGAGTTCGAGACCAGCCTGGGCAGCATCATGAGATCACATCTCTGCTAAATACACAAAACATTAACCGGGCGTGGTGGCTCGCACCTGTAATCCTAGCTACTTCCGAGGCTGAGGCACAAGAATTGCTTGAACCCGAGAGGCGGAGGTTGCAGTGAGCCAAGATCATGCCACTGCTGCACTACAGCCTGAGCGACAAAGTGAGACTCTGTCTCCAAAAAAAAAAGTACGAAGAATTGGTGAATTCTTCCAAATTTGGCAAGTGTTAATGTTTTACTACATTTACTTTATGATTCATTCTCATTATCTCTCTTCTTTTCTGTCAGCCTCTCAAGTATTTTCAGCAGTTGAAGTAGAGAATACTCCTTGGTTCAAAAGACACCATATATTAATCTCATTCTCCAGACTCAAGATCCTGGCTGGGCACAGTGGCTCATGCCTGTAATCTCAACACTTTGGGAGGTCTAGGCAGGCGGATCACTTGAGGTCAGGAGTTCAAGACAAACCTGGCCAAAATGGTGAAACCCCGCTGTACCGAAAAAACAAAAATTAGCTGAGCGTGGTGGTACATGCCTGTAATCCCCACTGCTCGGGAGGCTGAGGCAGGAGAGTCGCTTGAACCCAGGAGACAGAGTTGGCAGTGAGCTGAGATTGCACCACTGCACTCCAGCCTGGGTGACAGAGCAAAACTCTGTCTCAAAAAGAAAAAAGATATTTATGATGTATGATCCGAGGGATGGTTCATCGGCCAATAATTATGAGATAAAGATTAAAAAAGTAGCATTCAGTCCTCTAAATAGAAATTCTGGCCAGGCGTGGGGGCTCACACCTGTATTCCCAGCACTTTGGGAGGCTGAGGCAGGTGGACCATTTGAGGTCAGGAGTTCGAGACCAGCCTGGATAACATGGCGAAATGCTTTCTCTACTAAAAATACAAAGATTAGCTGGGCATGGTGATGGACGCCTGTAATCCCACCTACTCAAGCGGCTGAGGCAGGGGAATCACTTGAACCGGGGAGGTGGAGGTTGCAGTGAGCCAAGATCATGACGCTGCACTGCAGCCTGGGTGACAGTGAGACTCCATCTTAAAAAAAAAGAAAAAGAAAAAGAAATTCTGCTGATTATTTGAGCCCAGGAGTTCAAGACCAGCCTGGGCAACATGGCAAAACCCCACCTCTACAAAAAGTACAAAGCCAGGCCTGGTGGCACACATCCTCCCAATTAGTGTGGCTACTCAGGAGGCTGAGGTGGGAGAATCTGAGCCTGGGAAGTCGAGGCTGCAGTGAGTGGAGATGGCACCACTGCACTCCAGCCTGGGTGACAGAGTGAGACCCTGTCGCAAAAAATTCTGGTCCCTGTGTCTCTGAGACTATGAAATTTCTTTCCTCTAATCACATTGCACAATATACACATTCTCATGTGTGCGAAATGTTTTGTGGGCCCACTTTCTTGTTTCGAAGGCGATGGTTTGGAGCTTTCCTTGAAATAACACATTTCTGCTGCTTTTGTTTCCTCCTGTCTTCACGCAGACCTGAGGATGAACTGTTTCTAAAAAGACTTTCTAAAGGTTACTTGGTGGGAAAGGACTCGGACGCTCCCCTTTTCTACAGAGAACAAGGAAACAAAAAATTTCAGGAGAAAGATTACACAGGAGCTGCAGTGCTGTATTCTAAGGTAAAACACTCCCAGCTCGAGCAATTTATTTATGTATTTTTCTTTGAGACAGAGTCTTGCTCTCTTGCCCAGGCTGGAGTGCAGCGGTGCGATCTCAGCTCACTGCAACCTTCGCCTCTGGGATTCAAGCCATCCTCCCGCCTCATTCTCCCGAGAAGCTGAGATTACAGGCATGTAGTCACGGCTCACTGAAGCCTGGAACTCCTGGTCTCAGTGACCCACCTGCCTCAGCCTCCTGAGTAGCTGGGACTGATATGGTAGGTGGGCAGGGAATGCTGCATAAAGCCGGGTCCCTGGCTAGGGCTTCACCCTCGGGCCGCGTCCACTGACCTAGGTGAGGACAGGCACTCCTGCCTTTGCGCCCGAATGTTGCATTTTCCAAGACCACCCTGGTCTGCCACGCCCCCAGCCTGGGCCTATAAAAACCCAAGACCCTAGCAGGCGGACACATGAGCAGCTGGACGTTGTCAGGAGTATGCCGGCAGAAGAGCAGCCGACAGGCACCAGCATGCCATCGACCGGTGGCAGAACGACACAGCGTTTGGCCACAGCAGTTGGAGAAGAGTTGGGTCGCTGAGTGGCCGGACTCCAGGGGAAAACCATCTCCCTTCTGGCTCCCCAACCTGCTGCGAGCTACTTCTACTCAGTAAAACCCTGCACTCATTCTCCAAGCCCACGCGTGATGTGATTCTTCCAGTACACCAAGGCAAGAACCCGGGATACAGGAAGCCCTCTATCCTTGCGACAAGGTGGCGAGTGTAACTGAGCTGGTCAACACAAGCCGCCTAGAGACAGCAAACTCAAATAGCACCATGGAACACACGCCTACTGTGGGTTCAACTGTAAACATTCAACCCTAGACAATGCCCTCGGGTCAGAGCCCCACAGCCTGCCCATTTATATGCTCCCCTAGAGGTTTGAGCAGCAGGGCACTGAAGAAGCGAGCCACACCTCCACTGCACGCCCTGCGAGGGGAACAAGGGAACCTTTCCCGTTTCAGGACCGCAGATGCATGCCACCACCAGTCAGGCTAATTTGAGGCCTGGGTGACAGAGTGAGACCCTGCCTCAAAAAAAAAAAAGTAATTTATGTGTTCTGAATTTATTCAAGAAACTTCTGTGTCCATATTACTTCCGATACCTTGTAGCGGTAAGCTTACTGGCCCCTCGCCTGCCTTGCCCACGTCTGTCAGCTGCTGTTGAACTGCATGCCACTTTCGTCTGAATGTGTGATGCGACTGTTAGCTTGATGGAATCAGTCATCTGTTACTCTTGGCCGGGCACAGTGGCTCACACCTGTTATCCCAGCCCTTTGGGAGGCTGAGGCAAGAGGATTGCTTAAGCCCAGGAGTTCAAGACCAGCCTGGGCAACATAGCAAGACCCCATCTATACCATAATGTATAAATGACTCTTGTTGTCCTGCTTTCATAGTAAGAACTGGAACAAGATCCCTTGAGCAACTTCCTTCCATAGCTTTTAAGAGACTTACATGGGCTTAAAGCAGGAATGTATCAATATCTTGCACCAGTTCTGTGACCTTGGATATTAAAAGAGTAAGTTTAAATTTGAAGGGTAGGCTGGGCACAGTGGCTCACTCATGTAATTCCAACACTTTAGGAGATCCAGGCGGGAGGATTGCCTGAGCCCAGGAGTTCAAGGCAGGCCTAGGCAACACAGCGAGGCCCTGTCTCTGTTCCCAGAACAAACAATTTTTTTCATTTGAAGGGTGTAGATCCTACTCTGAATCTTTAACGGGTTTATGCTTGAATGCGCTTGCAGTTTGGGATTAATTTTCCAAAAACGATCACACCTACAACAGCAGCTTCTACAGCTGATAAAATCCCTGCTTTGTAGTGTTATAATAAAGTATTTAGCTAAATAATGTAAGCTTTAGTGATTGCTGAGGGATTAAAGTCCGTTAGGTGTAATGATCCAGTGATAAATGTCTTAATAGTTCTTTTTTCAGAGCTAATCTCTTCAACTTTATGTATGTGCATCATAAATGTGATCACATGGGAAGTTCTTCAAGGAAAACAGGGAAAATAACTGAAGCCAGAGAAAAAATTAAGGTTGGCTCTGACTGCGGAGGGAGATGAGCCTTCCTATTTCATGAAGCCAGTATGTTGGTGATTACGGTGCTCTGCAATTTTCTAGAAAGCTGCTGTTTTCTTTGTAAAAACATTTGTTGTTTTTATCTGATTGTAAAAGTAATATATGTTTACTTCGAAAAGTGCAGAGAAGCACAAAGAGGAAAAAAAATCTCATAACCCGTGATAGGCACTGTTAACGTTTTTGCTTACATCCATCCAGCCAGGCTTTTTCCTCCGAAAATATGTTTTTACAAAATTGGGATAATGGCTGCCCCTTCTGTTTTGTGACCTGCCTTTTTTCCCTCGACAATTGATTGTGCCCATTTTCTCATGTTATTAAATTTTCCACTGGAACATGATGCTTTACGGCTGGCTTAGTGTTCCATGACAGAGAAAAAGCCGTACTTGATTTCACATTTCCTAATGTTGGCAAATTGTTTGTATCGTAACACTGCAATGAGCATCTTTCTATGTAAATATTTGTGTATATCTGATTGCTTGCTTAGGGTAAATTCCTAGAAGGGTAATTGCTGGGGCAGAAGGAATGTATTTTTTCAGGCCTTTGGTACTTGATGCTGAATTGTTCTCCAGGAAAGAACTAGTTAACATCCCTGCTGGTGGAGTACGGGAATGTTCATTTTTCCATATCCCAAGCAGTACTGGTTGTGATGATTACAGTTTTATTATTATATCGGTTTATTTGTGAGTAGAGAATCTGTTCACGTAGATTTTAAAAGTGCAAGAGTGTACAGTGTCGTCTGCCTCTCCTGTCCCCTGACCACATGATTTTCTGTTCCCATAAACTAGCACCATTGAGTATATTTCCAGAGCGTACTCCAGACATGTGTAAATACAGCCTTCCACTCCTGCACACACACCATGTTTTTACATCCATAACATTCTGCACATATTGTTCAGCATCATGCCTTGTCCACTTAAAAGTAATAGTTTAAAGATCATTCCATTTCAGTACATAAAGAGCGTCCTCAGGCCGGGCACGGTGGTTCACACCCGTAATCCTAGCACTTTGGGAGGCCGAGGCAGATGGATCACCTGAGGTCAGAAGTTCAAGACCAGCCTGGCCCACAGGGCGAAACCCTGTCTCTACTAAAAATACAAAAATTAGCTGGGCGTGGTGGGCCAGGTGCCTATAATCCCAGCTACTGCGGGAGGCTGAGAGAGGAGAATTGCTTGAACCCCAGTGTAGGGGGTGGGGTGGGGGAAGTGCGTGGAAGTTTTAGTGAGCCAAGAACACGCCACTTCACTCTAGCCTGGGCGAAAGAGCAGAACTCTGTCTCAAAAAAAAAGAGTGTCCTCATTCTTTATTATGGCTAAATGGTGTTCCATTAAGTGGGTGTATCAATTTATGTAACCAGTATCCTGTGGATCAATGCTTGTTTCCTATCTTTTGCTATTTCAAACAATTCTGTGATGAGAAACTTTGCACAGGGCCAGGCACGGTGGCTCACACCTGTAATCCCAGCACTTTGGGAGGCTGAGACAGGTGGATCCCCTAAGGTCAGGAGTTCAAGACCAGCCTGGCCAACGTGGTGAAACCCCATCTCTACTAAAAATACAAAAATAAGCTGGGCATGGTGGCATGTGCCTGTAACCCTAGCTACTTGGGAGGCTGAGGCAGGAGAATCACTTGAACGCAGGAGGCGGAGGCTGCAGTGAGCTGAGATCGCCCCACTGTACTCCAGCCTGGACAACAAAGAGACACTCTGCCTCAGAAAAAGAAAAAAAACCCTTGCATGAATGTCATTTTTCATATATAACTGTATGATAAATGATTGTATCTGTAGGATTAATTCCTAGAAGAGGAATTGCTGGGTCAATGGATATTTTTTATGTATATAAGATATACATACATATAGAATTTTGACATGTATTGCTAAATTACCCTCAGTAATTATGAAACTAGTGTACACCCCCACTAACCGCATAATGAGAATGTCCATTATCCCACTCCTTGACCAGCTCTGTGTGCCATCAATTTTATTTTGCTTTGCCTGATAGGTAAAAAATGGCCTTTCTGTACAGTTTTAATTTGCATTTTATTGATTGTATGAGGCTGAGCATTTTTTTTCACATATTTAAGAGCCATTTTTATTTCCTGTGAGAACTGTCCATATCTTTGCCCATTTTCCTCTTGATTTATTGGTTGTCATCTTAGTGATCTGTAGGAAATCTTGACAAAGTAAAGAAATCAGCTCTTTGCCTATAATATGAATTGCAGATATTTTTTCCAGTTCACTGTTTGCCTTTTGCTTGTATTTGTTTTTGGTGTGAAGATATTGTTTATTTTCAGGCGGTCAAGTTTATTAACCTTTTATGGCCTCTGGATTTTGTGTCATAGTCAGGGATTCTTCCAGCATTACTTTGCATGCTTTCTATAGTTCTTCCAGTGCTCCTGTTGCTTTGTTTTTACATTAAGAATTTGATGTATTTGGAATTTATCCAGTGAAAGATTTATCACTTTATTTTGCTCATTGTCTACCTACTTATCCATATATATATATGTTTATTTTATTTTATTTTTTTTGAGACAGAGGCTGGAGTGCAGTGGTAGGATCTCAGCTCCCCACAACCTCTGCCTCCTGAATCCAAGCAATTTTTCTGCCTCACCCACCCGAGTAACTGGGATTACAGGTGTGCGCCACCACGCCCAGCTAATTTTTGTATTTTTCTTAGTAGAGATGGGTTTTTGTCATGTTGGTCAGGCTGGTCTCAAACTCCTGGCCTCAAGTGATCTACCTGCCTTGACCTTCCAAAGTGCTGGGATTGCAGGCCTGAGCCACCACATCAGGTCTTATCCCAGTACTTTTACTGAATACTCACCATCTTTCCCACCTTTACTTGAGTACCATATTTATGGTTATTATTAATCCTTGCCAATTTGATGGTAGAAAAAAGTACTCTTTCTTGTTTGTTTGTTTGTTTGTTTGTGACAGTCTAACTCTGTCACTCAGGCACTATCTCAGCTCACTGCAACCTCTGCCTTCCAGGTTCAAGCCATTCTCATGCCTCTGCCCCCCAAGTAGCTGGGATTGCAGGCACACATTACCATCCCCTGCTATTTTTTTATATTTTTAGTAGAGATGGGATTTTGCCATATTGGTCAGGCTGGTCTCGAGCTCCTGGCCTCAAGTGATCCACCTGCCTCAGCCTGGAATTACAGATGTGAGCCACCATGCCCAGCCTAGTATCCCTTTTTTTGCATTCATTTTCATCTATTTGGCTATCCGTATGTGAATTAATCATTTGTTTTCTGTAACTATTTATGTTTCTCCTTGTGTGAATTTCTATGTGTGCCACCCACCCTTTGTTATATTCAGGAAATGGGATATTATGCTTGCAGGTATTTCCCTCAGTTTCTTATTCACCTTCAGTGTTGTTTGTGGTTGAAGCTGTATCTGACAAAGTGCTTATAATACTGATGTCCTCACTTGCTCTTCACAGCTTTGCTCTCAGGTAGTTAAAATGTAAGCTGAAGCACAACGAGGTTCAGTAACTTTCCCAGTTTCACACAGTCTTTAGTACTAGAGCCCGTAATATCTGAAAAATGTATTTTAGAGTTGCTAGTTTCCATTTATACCTTTAACCAGTTCATTGTTTTGCAGGGAGTGTCACATTCAAGGCCTAACACTGAGGACATGTCGCTGTGCTATGCTAACCGCTCGGCAGCCCTTTTCCACCTGGGTCAGTACGAGGTGAGTATCAGATACTAGTGTGCGTGCAGAGGATCCGGGGGGCCTTCACTGGAGGACTAGACCTTCGTCTCTGCTTCTTCCATGGAGCACTCAAATCAGGTCATGCTGCTATTGGTTGAATCGGAAGCACATTAGCATCTACCTGAAGTTGGGCTGGGCGCTCACGCCTGTAATCTCAGCACTTTGGGAGGTCGAGGCAAGCGGATCACCTGAGGTCAAGAATTCAAGACCAGCCTGGCCAACACAGTGAAACCCCATCTCTACTAAAAATACAGGGATGGGCTGGGCGCGGTGGCTCACGCCTGTAATCCCAGCACTTTGGGAGGCCGAGGCGGGCGGATCACAAGGTCAGGAGATCGAGACCATGGTGAAACCCCGTCTCTACTAAAAATAGAAAAAATTAGCCGGGCGCAGTGGCGGGCACCTGTAGTCCCAGCTACTCGGGAGGCTGAGGCAGGAGAATGGCGTGAACCCGGGAGGCGGAGCTTGCAGTGAGCTGAGATCCGGCCACTGCACTCCAGCCTGGGGGACAGAGCAAGACTCCGCCTCAAAAAAAAAAAAAAAAAAAAAAATACAGGGATAAAAATTAGCCGAGTGTAGTGTACTCCCAGCTACTAAGGAGGCTGAGGCAGGAGAATCGCTCAGGAGGTGGAGGTTGCAGTGAGCCAAGATCAAACCACTGCACTCCAACCTGGGTGACAGAGTGAGACTCTATCTCAAAAAAAATGTACTAGGCCAGACATGGTGGCTCACACCTGTGATCCCAGCACTTTGGGAGGCCAAGGCAGGCAGATCACGAGGTCTGGAGTTCGAGACCATCCTGGCCAACATGGTGAAACCCCATCTCTACTAAAAATACAAAAATGGACTGGGCATGGTAGCAGGCACCTGTAGTCCCAGCTACTCGGGAGGCTGAGGCAGGAGTATTGCTTGAACCTGGGAGGTGGAGGTTGCAGTGAGCCCAGATCGCACCACTGCACTCCAGCCTGGGTGACGGAGCGAGACTCCGTCTCAAAAAATATATATAAATAACTAAACTTGCTCTTTCTCCTGAGTCATTTCACTGATCACAGGTGACCATATGGGATAGTGTTGATTGACAAGAAAGAGCTATGGGGCCAGGCGCGGTGGCTCACGCCTGTAATCCCAGCACTTTGGGAGGCTGAGGCGGGCAGATCACTTGAGGTCAGGAGTTCGAAACCAGCCTGGCCAACATGGTGAAACCCCATCTCTACTAAAAATAAAAAAATTAGCTGGGCAGGTGGCGGGCACCTGTAATCTCAGCTACTTGGGAGGCTGAGGCAGGAGAATACCTTGAACCTGGGAGGCAGATGTTGCAGTGAGTCAATGAGCTGAGATCGTGCCACTGCACTCCAGCTTAGGTGAGACAGGGCTCTGTCTCAAAAGAAAAAGGAAGGAAAGAGCGATGGGACATTCCATGGGGATGTGGACTGTATCCAACAGGTCAGCAGTGCTCAGTGTCAGGATTAGCTGAGTGACATGTTGCTGCTAATACTTCAGACTCCAAGTGTTTGCAAAGTATAGTGTTTGCTTCTTTATTTTTTTGAGTCAGAGTCTTGCTCTGTCACCCAGTCTGGAGTGCAGTTACACGATCTCGGCTCACTGTAAACTCCGCCTCCTGGATTCACATCATTCTCCTGCCTCAACCTCACAAGTAGCTGGGACTACAGGCGCCCGCCACCATGCCTGGCTAGTTTTTGTACTTTTAGTGGAAGCAGTGTTTCACCATGTTGGCCAGGATGGTCTCGATTTTTTTTTTTTTTTTTTTTTTTTGAGACTGAGTCTCCTTCTGTCGCCCAGGCTAGAGTGCAGTGGCACGATCTGGGCTCACTGCAAGCTCTGTCTCCTGGGTTCACGCCATTCTTCTGCCTCAGCCTCCCAAGTAGCTGGGACTACAGGCGCCTGCCACCTCGCCCGGCTAGTTTTTTGTATGTTTTTTTGTTTTGTTTTGTTTTGTTTTTTTGAGACAGAGACGCTCTGCCGCCCAGGCTGGAGTGCAGTGGCGCGATCTCAGCTCACTGCAAGCTCCGCCTCCTGGGTTTACGCCATTCTCCTGCCTCAGCCTCCCGAGTAGCTGGGACTACAGGCACCTGCCACCACGCCCGGCTAGTTTTTTGTATTTTTTAGCAGAGACGGGGTTTCACCGTGTTAGCCAGGATGGTCTCGATCTCCTGACCTCATGATCCGCCCATCTCGGCCTCCCAAAGTGCTGGGATTACAGGCTTGAGCCACCACGCCCAGCCACCCTTTATAACTTTTCTATACTGATTGTTTCTATTTTCTTTTTTCTTTTTTTTTTTTTTTTTTTTTTTTTTTTGAGACAGGGTCTCTGTCACCCAGGTTGGAGTGCAGTGACTCGATCATAGGTAACTGTAACCTCGAACTGGGCTCAAGCAATCTTCCTGCTTTAGTCTCCTGAGTAGCTAGGACTATAGGCCTGTGCCCCCAGGCCTGGCTAATTTTTCAATATTTTGTGGAGCCCAGGGTCTCATCTATGTTGTCCAAGTTAGTCTCGAACTCCTGGACTCAAGTGATCCTCCCACCTCAGTCTCCCATAATGCTGGGATTACAGGCGTGAGCCACCATGCCCAAATGTTTTCCTTCTTATAATAATGATTATCGTTTATTGAGCATGCACTATGTTCCGGGTGCTCCTTTTGGCATGTGAGATACATTATTTCCTTTTATCCTTAAAACAACACTGGGAGATATTATTATCCCTGTTTTTTAGATAAAATTAAGACACTGAGAAATTAAGTCGATTGCACAAGGTCGTGTGGCTAGTAAGAGGCAGAGTGTGTTTGTTTGTTTGTTTGTTTGTTTGTTTGTTTGTGAGACAGAGTCTCGCTGTCACCCAGGCTGGAGTGCAGTGGTGTGATCTCGGCTCGCTGCAACCTCGGCCTCCCGGGTTTAAGTGATTCTCCTGCCTCAGCCTCCTGAGTAGCTGGGACTACAGGCGCCCGCCACCACGCCTGGCTCATTTTTTGTATTTTTAGTAGAGATGGAGTTTCACTGTGTTGGCCAAGATGGTCTCGATCACTTGACGTTGTGATCCGCTCGCCTTGGCCTCCTAAAATGCTGGGATTACAGGCATGAGCCTCTGTGCCCGGTCGGCAGAGTGTATTTGAATACGATCTGCTTGGACTCAAAGCCTTCAAAGCCTGCCTCTTAGTCACCATACTATAATTCTTTTTTTTTTGGAGACCGAGTCTTGCTCTGTCGCCCAGGCTGGAGTGCAGTGGCGTGATCTCAGCTTCCTGCAAGCTCCGCCTCCCGGGTTCAGCCGTTCTCCTGCCTCAGCCTCCCGAGTAGCTGGGACTACAGGCGCCGCCACCTCGCCCGGCTAGTTTTTTGTATTTTTTAGTAGAGACGGGGTTTCACCGTGTTAGCTAGGCTGGTCTCGATCTCCTGACCTCGTGATCCACCCGTCTCGGCCTCCCAAAGTGCTGGGACTACAGGCTTGAGCCACCGCGCCCGGCCTATACTATAATTCTTGTATCCAGAAGACTTTTTTCCCTTAAAAAATAGAAATATTTAATCCAAGAACATTAAGCATACCAATATGCTCAACAAGTATTGCTAATCACTGAAAGGATCACACAGAACTCTATGATCTAAATAAGCATGTGGTTGTAATTGTTCCATTTTTAATAATCCTTAACTTTCCTATAGATTTTTGGAAATACTTTCAGTAAACATTGAAGACTAGGGACCAAGGCTCATTGTGGGCTTTTCTTTCTGTTTTCAGACGTGCCTTAAAGACATTAGCAGAGCACAGATGCATGGCTATCCAGAAAGACTGCAGCCCAAGATCATGTTACGTAAAGCAGAATGTCTGGTGGCCCTGGGGAGACTACAGGAGGCAAGCCAGACCGTCGGTGATCTTGAACGGAACTTCACGGCCACACCAACCCTAGCAGATGTCCCCCCTCAGACTCTGCAGAGAAACCTCCATCATCTGAAAATGAAGCTACAGGAAAAGGAGAGTCCCACAGAAACCCTCCCAGCAACTCTGGCCAAAACCCTTGAGGATGTGGCGCTCAAGGGAGAGAATGAACGACTTTCCAACGCCTCATCATCCGTCGGCTTGTGCATAGATCCTTTAAAAGGTCGCTATCTCGTTGCCACGAAAGAGATTCTCCCAGGAGAGCTCCTGGTGAGGGAGGATGCTTTTGTGAGTATTCTCAACCCCGGAGAACTGCCACCACCGCATCACGGCCTAGACAGCCAACGGGACACCAGAGTCACCAATGGGGACCTCTATTGTCACCGATGTTTGAAGCACACTTTGGCCACAGTTCCGTGTGACGGATGCAGTTATGCCAAGTATTGCAGCCAGGAGTGTTTGCAGCAGGCCTGGGAGCTCTACCACAAGACAGAATGTCCTCTGGGGGGGCTGCTTCTCACACTGGGTGTCTTTTGCCACATTGCCCTGAGGTTGACGCTTGTGGTGGGAGTTGAGGATGTTCGCAAAATCGTAAAGAAGCTTTGTGTTAAGATTAGTAACAAGGACATCTGTTTACCAGAAAGCGACAATCAGGTCAAGACACTTAATTATGGCCAAGGAAAGAGTGAGAAAAATGGCAATATGGTTGAGACCCCGATTCCTGGATGTGATGCTAATGGGAAGTATGACAGTAATTATAATGCTGTTTTCAACCTTTTGCCCCATACTGAAAACCATAGCCCAGAGCACAAATTCCTCTGTGCTCTCTGTGTTTCTGTACTGTGCAGGCAGCTAGAAGCAGCCGGTTTACAGGCCATCCCAACAGATGTGGACTCCTCTCAGCTCACAGCAGCAGTGACACCTGAGTCGTGCCCCGACGTGACTATTTGGGGAGTGGCAATGCTGAGACACATGTTACAGCTGCAGTGTAATGCTCAGGCGATAACCACCGTACAACACACAGGTAAGAGGGAGACTGACGCTCAGGCGATGACCACCATACAACACACAGGTAAGTGGGCAGATCACAAGGTCCAGAGATCAAGACCATCCTGGCCAACATGGTGAAACCCCATCTCTACTAAAAATAAAATTTAAAAAAATAGCTGGGCGTGGTGGTGCACACCTGTAGTCCCAGCTACTCGGGAGGCTGAGACAGGAGAATCACCTGAACCCGGGAGGCGGAGGTTGCAGTGAGCCGAGATCATGCCACTGCACTCCAGCCTGGCAACAGAGCGAGATTCTGTCTCAAAAAAAAAAAAAAAAAAAAAATTATTTGATCCCGTTCTGCCCCAGTGTCTCATATGTAAAATGGGTAGTTTTATCCCAGCTAACTTTACAGAGTTGTGTAAAGCTATGTTTGTAAAATTCTTTTTAAATTCTTTAAAAAGTTCGTATTGCTGACAAAAATTTTTTTTTTTTTTTTTTTTGAGACAGAGTCTTGCTCTCTCCCAGGCTGTAGTGCAGGGGTGCAATCTTGGCTTACTGCAACCTCCACTTCCCAGGTTCAAATGATTCTCATGCCTCAGCCTCCCAAGTAACTGAGATTACAGGCATACGCCACCACACCTGGCTAATTTTTTTGTGTTGTTAGTAGAGACGGGGTTTTGCCATGTTGGCCAGGTGGGACTTGAACTCCTGGCTTCAGGTGATCCAACTGCTTTGGCCTCCCAAAGTGCTGAGATTACAGGCATGAGCCACCTCACCCGGCCTTTTAAAATATTTTTAATAGAGATGAGGACTTGCTATGTGGCCCAGACTGGTTTTGAACTCCTGGGCTCAAGCAGTCCTCCCGCCTCAGCCTCCCCAAGTGCTGGGATTACAGGTGTGAGCCACTGCACTCGACCTGAAATTTTTTGGTTATGAAGGAAAACTGTCTTAAACAGTAATAGCAAGTTTGTTATAAGATACATACACAAAAGGCCTGACACAGTGGCTCATGCCTGTAATCCCAGCACTTTGGGAGGCCAAGTTGGGCCAGGTCACTTACTTGAGCTCAAGAGTTCGAGACTAGCCTGGGCAACATGACAGAATACAAAAATTAGCCGGGTACAGTGGTGTACGCCTGTAATCCCAGCTACTTGTGAGGCTGAGGCAGGAGAATCGCTTGAACCTGGAAGGCTGAGGCAGGAGAATCACTTCAGCCCAGGGGCAGAGGTTGCAGTGAGCCATGATCGCACCACTGCACTCCAGCTTGGGTGAAACCCTGTCTTAAGAAAAAAAAAAATACATGCACAAGATTCCAGAGAAAGCTGTATGGTTTCTCCTTAGGGAGGGCAGAAATAATAGTCAAACTAGACTGCGGAAAGAAGAGTCCCAGTAGTTGAGTAAGGTATCAAAGTCTTTTTTTTCTTTTTTTTTCTGAGATGGAGTGTTGCCCTATCACCCAGGCTGGAGTGCAGTGGCGCGATCTCAGCTCACTGCAACCTCCGTCTGCCGGATTCAAGCGATTCTCCTGCCCCAGCCTCCCGAGTAGCTGGGATTACAGGCGCACACCACCACGCCCAGCTAATTTTTGTATTTTTAGTAGAGATGGGGTTTTACCATGTTGGCCAGGCTGGTCTTGAACTCCTGACCTCAGGTGATCCACCCACCTCGGCCTCCCAAAGTGCTGGGATTACAAGCGTGAGCCACTGCGCCCAGCCGGGTATCAGACCCTTAACTCAGCTACTCTCTGTCTTCTTTTCCAATTGACAAAGATTTCCCATTCTTCTAAATTTCCAAGAGAGGAACCCAGCCCAGTGCAGCCTTCCACCCGACACTGTACCAGCAGCTGCCAGCCTACATATTGCCCGTCCTTTGGTCAGGTGGCCACTCTAAACACAGACCAGCCAGCTCAGCCCTGCTTTCCTGAACTGGAGCCTACACATAACACTACTTAAGATAGATGGGGGCCGGGCATGGTGGCTCACACCTGTAATCCCAGCACTTTGGGAGGCTGCGGCGGGTAGATCACGAGGTCAGGAGATCGAGACCATCCTGGCTAACACCGTGAAACCCCGTCTCTACTGAAAATATGAAAAATTAGCCGTGCGCGGTGGCAGGCACCTGTAGTCCCAGCTACTTGGGAGGCTGAGGCAGGAGAATGGCGTGAACCCGGGAGGCAGAGCTTGCAGTGAGCCGAGATCGCGCCACTGCACTCCAACCTGGGAGACAGAGCCAGACTCTGTCTCAAAAAAAAAAAAAGATAGACGGGAAGCTTGGATGTGCCGAGAATCATGATCCAGCTTGACATCTCCAGTGTGACTGTACTGACAACAGATACAGCTATTATTAGAAAAGCGGCATTTGCAGTCTTTCTATTTTATGATCTTCATTTTAGCAGAAAATGTTTTTTGACTCAATCCGTTCATTATACTTTTCTTAATTTTTTTGATTAGCTCTCTTGAGAGGGAGGAAACCAGGTGTTAGCTAAACCGAGTTTTTATAGACAGATGAATATTAAATGTGGCTTCACCGAACTACACGTGCTTAGCTCATTTGATCTTCTCACATCAGGTCACCTAGAATTTGTCAGCCTATTTTGATGTGCGTGTTTATGTTTAATTCAGCAGGCAGGTTATATGGAATATAGGTATCTCAGCAGACATGTTTTGGCCAAGATTCCCTTCCCCATCCTGAAGCACATGGAACATGTGAAAATAGGACTGGCCTGGTCCCGTGAAACTACTAAATCACATTTCAAGTTGGCCTGTGTTCTCCTCTGCCCTCCTTTGCTGCTTTGAGCCATTGCTACCATCTAAAATACAGCTGTTGAGTGTTTTTCCAGAATTATGTTATCCTTTGGGTACACTCTCTTGCATTTTCTAATATACTTATTTTGTTCTGTTTTTCTGAACATAAAAATATATGGGGCTTCCCGATTAAATGGCAGAAAGTTACCAACTCTTGATTCCATGTCTTGCCTTTAAAATACTTAATAGGGCCGGGTGCGGTGGCTCATACCTATTATCCCAGCACTTTGGGAGGCCGAGGCGGGCAGATCACGAGGTCAAGTGATAGAGACCATCCTGGCCAACGTGGTGAAACGCCATCTCTACTAAAAATACAAAACTTAGCTGGGCATGGTGGTGCACACCTGTAGTCCCAGCTACTCGGGAGGCTGAGGCAGGAGAATCGCTTGAACCTGGGAGGTGGAGGTTGCAGTGAGCTGAGATCGCGCCATTGCACTCCAGCCTGGTGACAGAGCGAGACTCCGTCTCTAAAAAACAAAAAGAATACCTGAAGCTGGCCGCAGTGGCTCACGCCTGTAATCCCAGCGCTTTGGGCAGCTGAGGTGGGCAGATCGCTTGAGCTGAGGAATTTGAGACCATACTAGGCCGCGTATCAGGATCCCATCTCTTAAAAAAAAAAAAAGTTAGCCAGGCATGGTGGCGTGTGCCTGTGGTCCCAGCTACTTGGGAAGCTGAGGCAGGAGGATCGCTTGAGCCTAGGAGTTTGAGGCTTCAGTGAGACATGAGTTGCACTGCTGCACTAGAGCCTGGGCAACAGAGACAGACCCTGTCTCAAAAAAAAAAAAAAAAAGAAAAATACATGTTTATTCTGTGGCTAATAAAAACTGGAAGAATAGATACGTATTATAATACTGGCTACTTGGGGTCATGGAAAGTGGTTTGGAGACATTGTTTTATCTATGAGGTTCTAATGTTTTATGCATAATTTATTGTTTATGTAATGTTTTTAAAATATGTATATAGAAGAAACAGTAGAAGCAAAAATACCAAAATCTGAACAGTGATTAATTCTGAAAGTGGAAATACAGGTGATTCTACTCTCTTATTTGAACTTTTCTGCTTTTTTAACATTAAAAGCACTTACACAGTGGTCCCATTATACGATTAAATTTTAAAATGATTGTATACCTTTCCCATAGTTCTAGGAGAAAACATTTTAAAAAAAAAAAAAAAAAAAAAAAACAGCTCACAGGCCAGGCGCAGTCATGCCTGTAATCCCAGCACTTTGGGAGGCCAAGGCTGGTGGATCACCTGAGGTGAGGCGTTTGAGACCATCCTGGGCAACATGGTGAAACCCCATCTCTACTGAAAATACAAAAATTAGCCAGGTGTAGTGGCATGTACCTCTAGTCCCAGCTACTTGGGGGGCTGAGACAGGAGAATTGCTTGAACGCGGAAAGCGGAGGTTGCAGTGAGCCGAGATCACGCCACTGCAATCCTCCCTGGGTGTCAGAGCAAGACTCTGTCTCAAAAAAAAAAAAAAAAAAAAAGCAGGCAGGCACTGTGGCTCACACCTGTAATCCCAATAGTTTAGGAATTGAGGAAGGAGGATCACTTGAAGCTCCAAGTTTGAGATCAGTCAGGGAAACAGAGTGAGACCCCCATCTCTACAAAACGTAAAAGAAAAAGGCCAGTCATGGTGGCATGCACCCGTAGTCCCAGCAACTCAGGAGGTTGGCCCGGGAGGATGGCTTGAGCCCGCATTCAAGGCTGCAGTGAGCTATGATCATGCCACTGGACCCCAGCCTGGGCGTCAGAGCAAGATCCCCTCTTGGGATTAAATTAAAAAAAAAAAAGAGCCAGGCACGGGAGCTCACTCCTGTAATCCCACCATTTTGGAAGGCCAAGGTGGGAGAATTGCCTGAGTCCAGGAGTTCGAGACCAGCCTGGGCAACATGATGAGACCCTGTTTGTTAAAAAATAATAATAATTTTTAAAAAAGAAAAAAAAATTGCCTAAATTGTCCCAGAAGGAGGAAAGCACTTTAAAAAACCAGTAATTGTAGAAGAGTCAAGTTATCAAAATATTTCCATAAAAATAAGCCAGATCCATTTGTTTCCATGTGAATTCTTTAAAACTTTTAAGGAACATATTTAACCATAATTCAAAAAAAAAAAAGAAACATCTCTCAAGAATAGACCAAAGCCAATCACAGTGGCTCATGGCTATAATCCCAGCACTTTGGGAGACTGAGGTGGGAGAATCGCTTGAGCCCAGGAGTTGGAGACCA